AAAGATGTACAAAACAAGAAAACTATACCAGAAAACATTAGTACACCTGTAAAGGACTCCTCCAACAAGAACAACAACATTAAGAGTTCTGACACTCACTTGTCGACGAATGAACCAGCACCCACACAGAAAGAGACTAAATCGACAGCAAGTGTGTCAAGTAAATCCACTGATTCGAAGATTGTGGCCGAAACTGAAAATCTTCCGAAAGTCAGTAGTACCGACCGTAAAACTGTTAATAAGCATGAAAGTGAGGTTTCAGATAAAAAGAATGTGGTCACTACTCATAACGAAAGTAACACAACTAGTAATGTAGTAAAACCTGACAATGAACTAAGCAAGAAAGAGTTAGACTCAAAGACCAGTTCCTCACATGAAGCTAATGCATCAACAAAAACTACTGAGTCAATGAAGTCTAATACGGTCAACACTTCCAATATCACTGATACTACTAAGTCTACTACTAAAGATGTACAAAACAAGAAAACTATACCAGAAAACATTAGTACACCTGTAAAGGACTCCTCCAACAAGAACAACAACATTAAGAGTTCTGACACTCACTTGTCGACGAATGAACCAGCACCCTCACAGAAAGAGACTAAATCGACAGCAAGTGTGTCAAGTAAATCCACTGATTCGAAGATTGTGGCCGAAACTGAAAATCTTCCGAAAGTCAGTAGTACCGACCGTAAAACTGTTAATAAGCATGAAAGTGAGGTTTCAGATAAAAAGAATGTGGTCACTACTCATAACGAAAGTAACACAACTAGTAATGTAGTAAAACCTGACAATGAACTAAGCAAGAAAGAGTTAGACTCAAAGACCAGTTCCTCACATGAAGCTAATGCATCAACAAAAACTACTGAGTCAATGAAGTCTAATACGGTCAACACTCCCAATATCACTGATACTACTAAGTCTACTACTAAAGATGTACAAAACAAGAAAACTATACCAGAAAACATTAGTACACCTGTAAAGGACTCCTCCAACAAGAACAACAACATTAAGAGTTCTGACACTCACTTGTCGACGAATGAACCAGCACCCTCACAGAAAGAGACTAAATCGACAGCAAGTGTGTCAAGTAAATCCACTGATTCGAAGATTGTGGCCGAAACTGAAAATCTCCCGAAAGTCAGTAGTAATGTAATTTCACCGGAACAACCTGCTAATAATATTATTAATAAATCGGATCATTCAAAGTTATCAAAAATTGCTGTACGTCGAGATACAGTAGTTCTTGAAAATCCTAAAAGCTTATTACCAACAACGACCGATATTAATATTGATAATAGTCAAAAAGAAACCTCTAATGATAAGCTAAAAAATCCAACAAATGATTCAGTAAGTAGATTAATTACTGATATTGAACAATTAAGAAACGAATTGTTTAAGTTTCCTGCTTCAATTAATCATACAAAAATATCAATAGCTTGTCAAACAAATCAACAAAATATGCTCAACTGTTCTACTCAGACTATACCATCAACTGTTGACTGTGATCAGAATCAATTAGAAAATAATACTTTTCAGCTACAATTAGAATCTTTAATATTATATAGTATAAAATATGATATCGATCTTTCGAAGAAGAATAATAGTTCCACAAAAGTTATGCAATATCCTTTACAAATGAAAAAAACACCTTATTTAACTCATTCAAAAGTACTTGAATATAGTTCATCATTGAAAGAAACCAATAATACTTGTTCACAACAATCTACTAATCATTCATATGAATTCGCTTCATCATTGTTTCATTTGTTACAAAAGGAATATGTAAAACATTTCAATAAACTTTCATATTCAAACTTAAATGATCTAAATCTATTTACATTGACACAGTTTATTTTACAAACATACGATATATGGAATTATGATTTAAATTCAGAGAATTATAATAGTAATACTAATCCTATTCGAATAAAACGTAACAGTACTACTAATAATAATAATCTTAATCAACTTTCTATTATTAAAACACCATTACATTATAAAATTAATATTCGTCAATTTTGTAATAATTTATTATTATGCATAATATGTATTTATATGGATACTGAACAATTATCTCCAAGGCAACATTATACACGTATTATATCATTTATAAAAAAATTAATGAATAATTATTTTCATCATATCAATAATACTAATACTAATAATAATAATAATAATAATAATAATGATTATTTTTTTAATGAATTTCATCAATTTTGTAATGAAAAATTATTACATAATCATTTATGGTTTAGTCAAATCATTTATGAAGGTTTAATTCTATTACAACCATTTCATATAGAATGGATTCATTCATGTATTGATTTAATCAATTTATCAAATCATACATTACAAAAGATTAAATTTCGTTTAACTACTAATATCACTATAACATTACCTAATATTAAATTAAATAAAGATTCTATATTTGAATTAATACCATCTACAATGATTAATTCATTATGTCGAACAAATGAAATGTATAATTTAATATATTTACGTATATTATATACCAATTTAATATTAACACCAATGAATTTAACATTAATAATCAAAATTTATAATAGTTTTGTAGATGCTATCAATTACTTGTTATCATTATCGAATTATACAACAACAACAACAACAACATCATTATATCGAAATATTACTGAGCCTATTATAGATCTCAGTTATGTAACAAGTCAATTATTACAATTATTTATTCAATTAAAATATCGTCTATGGGAAATGATGATACAACCAATTGTAAATAATAATCAAAATACATTATTACTAGATCAATTATTAAATTGTATTAATCCACAAGTATTAAAACATTTCAATACTATCTGTTCTAATACAAATCATCATAGTAACATTTATTTATTTATATTAATATTTCGAATATTAATGTCAGTACAATTTGAATCCGATTGTTTAATACATGAAACACAACCAACCAATTCACCAATATATGGTTTTAATTATAGTGTTATCATGAGTAGTTTAACAAATTGTTCAATTACTGGACCATCTAAAAGTGATCATATTCTATGTGAAGATAATGAAACTTATCATCATCTTTTATATCATATTTATGAAATGTGTTATGCAGAATGGTTAATGACAGGTTTATGGCCTTATAATAAAGTGAAAATGTTCAATGATCAACATCATCATTATCATCATTCACAACAATTATCTATTCAATATTTATGGTTTCATGCATTAAAACAAAAAGATGAATTAATGACATTATTATTTCATAATAGTTTGATTAATAATTTCAAATTTGGTTTACAACAATTAGTCAAACAAAAATCAATAAATATTAAACTATGGTTACCTGTTAAATTTAATTCAACTGATTTAAACAATGGTACATTTTGGTCTCGTGTCTATTTAGCCGCAATTATGCAATGGTATGATACAAATTCAAAATCAACAAATTGTGGAACTATTATTAATAAACTATCTCATATATTAAATATTAATTCACCAACGACAAGTAATAAGAGAACGAATTATATGAATATAAATAATTATAATAAAAGTTGTTGTCGTGTATTTTTGCGCAAACTAGAAGAAATTCGATGTAATTGGTCATATTCAAATTATGTCAATTACGACCTCATGTATATCTGGTGCCTGATGTCAGATGATATTCATTGTTGTAGTACAAGTGGGAATGTGTACCATGGAAGCGATAATAATAATAATGCCGATCTATATCATCCATCAATTATATTTGAGAAGAATTTAAATATGCTACCGGACAATGTAGTGACACAGTTGAAGCTAGCTTATTTTATTGAACCATCTATTCTATTTACTACTATATCACATAAAACAGTATCAGAATACATATTGAAATATCGACAACAGTTAGCGAATACGAAATGTTCCTATTCTGAGGTGATTGGTATAACAAAGAAATGGATTGGTTTTTCTCCTAAAATGCACCTTTATTTTACATTCTTACTGAACACAATTAGCTTTGGTTACGGTCTTTATAAGGGGTTGATTTTTTATCTTCTCATTTTTATCGTTTAAGCGTATCTCTACACGTAAATGGTCATAATCACTGAAAGAAATGTTTTTTTTGTATTTGTGGTCTGGTGTTATATAGGAATTTTCAGGTTCAATGCCTGTTTTTTAAACTTGAGATATCTAGTAAAGACGGTGTTAATATTTCCATCCTCCCACTGTTTTTATATTACTTACCCTCAACTATTTTTTCAAGCAGTTTTATTAACATTTTTATTTAATCATTTATCAAATTTTCAGTATCGGGTTGTGAAGATAGTTAAATTCCATTTAAATCATGAATCGATCTAAGACCACCATTGAAAATGTGGAAGCAATAGACGGCCATTTTGTCCTAGTATGGGACACCGCATGCACGATCGAGGTTTGACATTAACATCGCTAGGTGTCACGACAAAGGTCTGGAGGTTAAGCGTTCGCGCTCCAGACCGAAGGTTCTGGTTTCAATTGCCCATGGTGGGTACATCGTTTTTATGAGTCCTATACTAGGGCGAAATGGCCATGCAGCGCTTGCAGTTTCCATTGGTCGTCTAATTTTAGATCGTTTCATGATTTCAATGAAATTTATTGAGTTTGTCCTATTAAAAAACAATTTTGTGACGGGGTTTTTTTCAAATGCTAATCTCTGTATTGGACTAAATGAATTTTTGTGAGTAGATTTACATTAAACATAATTATAAAATATTACTAACTCCCCCTAAACCTCACTTGTTTTTTACCTGTTTCACAAATCATTAATTGTTATCATAATTATTTTATAAGTTACTAATCACGTGTTTAAGGGTTACCGTAATCACCAACAAATTCATAACCTATGTTAAGTTGATTTACTCCTCCTCACTCCGAAAAAAAGTGAGAATTTCCTTTTCAGAGTGTGAATAAAAATTGTAATACAGTTTACTATTGTTATTGTTTTATAAATTTTTTTATACTTTCCCCGCCTTCTCTCTCTCTCTCTCTGTCTACAGAATAATGTTGATCAAAAATTGGTAGAAAATTTACGTTGTCAAATTGAAAGCTTGAAACAAGAAATAAAAAGGTATTGTTTTCTAATAACAAAGAAAACAACTAACAAGTTATTTAGTTCTCTCATACCATTTACTTATCGTATTATATACTTTTTCGAAACTAATGTGTTTTTCTAAATATTCGTTTGCGCAAGGGTTTTTTATTATCCGGTTGGTTGATATTAAGGATTGCAGTTGTTTATCAGTCTCTTTTTTTTAAATTTATTTGTTTTGTTGTTGAACAGATGGCTTCCTAATCAGAAACTTTTAATTAAAATTGAGTCATGTGTAGTAGTGGAATTCAGGACGCATGCACTATTTAACAATCATTAGTTGGATATATCTTCTTTCCAATGTTAATGTTTATTTATGATCCTTTTTATTAAAAATGGAAAGATCCAAATAGTTACAAATCAGGATGAAACATCCTCCTAGAACAAATTAGTGTTTATTTAAAGTTAGCAGCTCAATAAATAACATGCTGGGTACTAGGTTCGATTTTTTAATGTGGAAATTAACATAGAGATTCAGCGATATCCAGCCGATGAGTCCCAAATAAGACAAACTGTGGCTTGCTAGATCCCACTGGTAATCCCTATCTAAACTTACATAAAACCTTTGTTTTATCACCTAAAATTTAAAGAGGTTATGTTGGGTTTGTTTATTTTTGCCATTGCAATTAAATATGATTAGATTGCTACAGCTCTATAATGCGTATCATATGATTAACATTGTTCATTAAGCTCACATACACAAATGATTCCTACATAGATCATTTACGTAAGTATGGAGAAATGTCGATAGCTAACGAAAAGTCTAATTAATGACCGTGAGCGCTGACTAGCAATAAAACCAAAATTAGTTGATAACATTAAATAATTAATGGAAACTTCCCATCAAATTTAACAGAGATACCAAATGAAGTGAATGTTTTTTTTTTGTATAAGTAACAATTTTCACTTCATTGATGTTATTATCAAATCAATTATGAAATTTGATATTTTTGACTAATCAAATATCAGTCAAATGGTATGTGTACGTGACCGGCGAAGAAATGGCTTGTATTTTTAAGTAATGAGATGTACACCATTGATGTCATACTTTTCTAATATCCCACTCTCCGTCTTTCCCTTCGAAGAGCCAGCTTGTCTAGCGTATAGGAAAATTGTGTATCAGTATTAAAATTAGACACCATATATTATGACGTCATCATCATAAAATGATAAATAAATAAAAAATTTAACAGTGTTAAGTTTGCATACGAACACTGTAGATTTTAATAAATTTTAACATGAGAAATCAATCTTTTCATGAATTCACTTATGTACCGGCTATCTTTCGGTTACTTAATATTACATAGTATGGAAATCTTGATTCATTATTATTTGAAACGGTTGTTAACAATCAATCATGTTGTTTGTTCTGTATTTTCAGACAATAACAACTAGTAAATCACTAGTCTGGGTTGATTTTTTTTTATTAATGAAATGGAGATTATGAGACTTTTATTTTCTAAAAAAAACAACAAGGAATTGTAAGAATTAGTAATTTGTTTAATTAGTATTTACGCTAGTAGTAATTCCGCTTAACTGAAGGATGTATTAAAATAAATCCAATAAATTAAACTGAAATAGCGCATCAAGGTTATTAAATTGACTATTTACTTATTATCAACTTACATAGTTTATCTGATAACCAGAATCTACTTTTACTCTAACTACCGGGTGTCATTTTCTGAAAGTTCACAGGAATGAGATATTTAAAGAACTGTTCATACTTTACTAAATTACTTAACCAAACACAGGTACTGTTGTTCTAATCTTTATTTAAACCATATAATAAATCAATCTACTTAGAATATTCCGAATGCAAGTGAATTATTTCTTTGATTCCTCTCAAAGGTAGTCTATATCATTTCATTCACACTCTTAGTACTAAATAAGCTATAAATTAAGCCTGGCTAAGATAAACACATCAAAATATTCTGTTATCTTTCTGTAGATTACAACGTGGTGCATCTACAGCTGAAGAACGAACTGTTAATGGAAATACTGGTGAATGTGAGTTGAATATTGTGGTCTGTTTTTTTTTTCAATAACCCTACTGGGTCATTTCCTTCTTGTTATGAAGTCACCTGAGCTTCATTCTATTGAGAAACTTAGTTATTCTGTCGATACTAATAAGTTAAAATATTTAATCGATACATTTAATGAAAGGTTTTGGTAAGTATCTTTTTAAATTGAAGATAATAATTGATACAGATTTATCTTAACTGGGATACCATTGAAAACCATATACTACTAGTGCGTATCCACGACCCAGCCTGGGATATAGACCCAAAGTTTGAAACCACCTCAACGAAACGCCGAATCTGAGAACAAACACGTAGTGGCCAGCTCATCAGTGACTTACATCAGGACGAGTTCTTAGATTTCAGATAAAAAAATCGTGATTGTTGAATAGTACACACGTCAGGAGTGAAACAGCCGTCACAAATGGCAACGTATGTTTGTCACCCCACATCACAAACCGAATACAGTTGAATATGTGTACCACTGAATAAAGCCATTAATAATAATAATAACAATAATAATAATAATAATAATAATAATAACAACAGCCATTTTAACGGTTAAGCTCTGGCTACAAGGCCTGAATTCTATGAGTTCTTTTTCAGTTAACATATTGTGAGTACACACTTCTGAGAAGCCCTATGCTAGGGCGAAATAGCTATCCAGTACTTTCTGGTTTTCAGTGCTAGCTCAGCTGGCATTACTCCGTGACAAGCCTCACCTATGGTTAATAAATATTTAAGATGTCTGGTTCCATTATTATGAAGCATATTGTTATTACTCTAAACGCTGTTTGACAGTTACTTTACTTCCATGCTTTTGTAGTTTACTGTCACAATGATTTGCTTCGTAGATGCCATACAACTCAATTTAGCTTAAGATGACGGTGAAAATTTTCGTTGAGTTACTTCGATATACTTTGACGGACTTGAATTTTTCTTGATTGTCATCCTAATCAATTATTTGTTATGATGACTATCTTTTTTACTATTTCTTCATAGAATTTGTCAGTTTAACTTTGTGTTCCCACTTTTCTTATATACCATTCTCATCACATTGGTATATATTCTAAGTAGAATAAAAGAAGTAAATGAACCAGTAAACACTGGACCAACTAAAATTCTTAAATGTTAAACTTTTAAACTATAGAAATAAATAAAGTCTTTCAATTAATATTACGTTGTCTTACAATTGGAAGCTTCTCATATGAAAGATTTGATGTTTCATCTAGTTTTAAACGTAATTCATATTCACTTTACAATAAAGAACATAATTTTTAAGTTATGTAAGTAATTTTTCAATTATTATCATATTATACCTACCTAATAGTTAGTCTTTTAACTATTGCTACAGTTCATAGATATCTTATGTATTTCAAAATATAGTGAATGGATTTCTCCACTGTCTTTCATAACATCACTGTCCATCATGTTTAACAACAGAATTCTACTCATCTAACTAACAATCAGATGTTATCGAGTTTCTCGATATTCCGTGTTGTCCGAATTTTTTTTACAGACTCTCAGAAAATATCAAGTACAAATTCCTTAAAGGTTATTAAAAAATTTAAAGTATTTCTGCTTTACCTTATCCTCTCCCTCATGTTATTGTCTTCATAAGCTTTAATCTCTTGATGTTTTATCTGCTTTTCTTGTACAGTTCATACATCACACAGTTCTCCAAGTCATTTTTATTCAATGGATCCGTATGGAAGTGTGGATAAACAAAATGAAGAAAAATCCTATTCATTACATAATCCATCATACTACAGCACTCAGTTGCAAGAACTACGTCAAACTGGTGACTTAGAGTTAGTTCGCGCACACCTTAGTTTGTCTGAACGACGTCGACGTGAGCTTGAAAGACGTATAACCGAACTAACTGATGAGTTAGCACGTTCTCGTGCAGAAGCCCGTTCCGCGGAAACTAGTCTTTCTGCTGCTCGTCGAACTGAAGCTGCACTAAGAAGACGTCTTCTTGTTGCTATGGATTCTCGAGGTTCACCTAATGGAAATTATGAAATGAATATATCACGAAATTCACATGAATTCTCTTCTAACGAAAGTTCAGAAATGATGAATGCTTTGGAGTTACAAGCAGATGTAAGTATCTTTAGTTTCAACTATTTTTAGAATCTTTAGGAAACACTATCATATACTGTTGTTTAATAATTTATAAATTTTATGTTCAAATTTTTCACAAATCATTTTTTCTCTTCTATAGAAGTCAACTTGGGAAACTAAGGTCAAAAATGATTTCAGTTTTAAAAAAACGGTTCTATTTACATTGACTGGACAGTCAAAATCGTAAATGTAAAATTGATCAAAATCATTTTGCTTTAATTTCATTTATAACTAAGTATATATTGAGTAAGCCAGTTAAACAAAAGTTTCAATGAAGAAAAAATAAGAATTTTCTATTTCTATTATTTAAAAAGACCTAGGTCAAGGGTTTTCTGTCAACTACCTCGAAGCACCTAACATCCCAACACAGTGAACGGAATGTCAAGTCACTTTGACTAATGGCCTCATCGTGACCTGATCAATATAATCAGATCGGCTCTAAAAGGTTAGATATATCTGTCACTAGCCACTAAACAATGATCAGTCAGTTTCAAATATTTCAGTTCTCAAAGGAATAATTAGGAAAATGACAACCTGTTAGGTGCAATATCTTGTAGCTATCAATAAACATAATATGCGAGCATAAGCAATTGTCTGTGTATTGACCAATGATCTATTTCAAGGTTAACATCATCTGTATTGTAGCTCAAATCATTTAGTCATGATACTGACTCAGTACTTGAAGAACTAGTGGATAATAGTTTTTTTTAAATTTTGGTTAATGTTTCGTACTATATTGTTGCAAACTAGAACAATGGGACTGCATACAAATCTCTTAGTCTATCAAAACTGTCAATTATATTGCGGAAGATGCAGGATGTTTTTCATAATGATACTTTTTACATTTTTTCTCTAAGCGTTGTATATTTCAAATCAGCCGTTATACAACTTGAGTTTTTAGCATCAGTTAGTATTGTTCAAATCTGTTAATAGTGCTTGCTCAGACAGAACCAAGTTTTCTAATCACCTTATTTTGAGGATCCAACCGCTTGGTTATTAATATCAGTTTCATACACTCTGCAGGTTATGAGAATAAAATAAGTTCCAACCAAATTATATAATTAAATGTTGAAATTATCGTGAGTGTGGGTTCGGTGATAACTCTCATTTAGGTATTAACCTTTTATCTACAAATTTATACTTTTAACGTCTAAGCTATCACAGTAATTATTTACTTATAAGTGAATTTCAGACATATTGACTAAATAATTATCTGCTTTTAATGCTTAAGTAACAGTTTAATAATATTTGTGAAACTTTATGATATTCACTTCTAGCTAATCAGCTGATAATAACAATAATAATAAATAGATAGATGGTTGTTTTCAATGTTCTTTTATCATTGTTGTTTAGATTATTAAACTTCAAGCTACTAATGCTTCTCTAACGGAAGCTGCTTTACTTGATCGAACAAGATTGCATGATCAAGCTATGCGTATAGACCAGTTGGAATCAGAGCACAAAGCTTTACTTGATCGAGTTTCATGTCTTCAGGCAGCTGAAACTGGTGCACAACGTGGTATTGTACGTTTACAAGTGAGTTTTTTTGCTTCACTTTATATGCATGTGCTTATCATTCGGTTTTGAAGCAACTGAACAATTGTCGTATTACATTCATGTTGATAAAGTTTCATTATAAAATAATATAATTGAGTACAGAATCATACACGATAAGGTGTTGTTGAAAAATGATCTTTCTTGAAATTAAAAGGAGAAAAAGGAGAAAATCACACCGACCGTAAGATAACTGTAGCATTTTTCATTCATATCCACTAGAACGAAAGTATAATATAAGAGTTGTGTAGTCGATCATCTCAAATAATGTTACGGATAATGTGGTCTAGTGAAAAATTCGAATTATATATTCTCATAATCTGTCAGTCATCAGACAAATGAAACCTGGCTCATAGGTGCATCAGTTTAAGTTACACCACTATTGAAACAACATGATGACATTATCAAGATAAATTCCAGAGTAACGGGAGTAGTAATAGTAGTAGAAAAAAGGAATATGGTCCGTAAAAAGGATGAATTTACTAAATAAAAGAAACTATGGATAATTTTTAAACTCAAAATTTGGAAGAAACCGAAACGTGACTAGATCTCTGTTACTGTGGCCGATTTTGAGTAATATCATCCATTGGTTACAGTAACCACACTCATCACAACCAGGTAGTCTGCACCTACCAACATAGGTTAGTCTAACAGTCATTGACTTCATGGACTGATACTATTTCTTGGTTTTTTCCATCTTATCTTTCTTCCAACTTACTCCAGCACCAGGAAGCATCGAGTGCCGAAGTAGGCGGTGTTCAGGGATATGTGATACATGCCCCAACCACCTCAGTCAATGAAAATTAGTTACCTCACCAACCGATTAGCCATCTTTACCTTGTACCCTATGTTTAACCCCAATATTTCTCACTGATCCTAAAATAGGTCAGTAACACTTTGAGGACATCTATTACTAAATGTTAGTAACCTATGAATATCTTCTTTCTGAAAAGGACACGTTTTTCAGGCTTATAGTAGAACAGGACGAATATATGAACAGTATACACGTCCTTTAGTTGAGAGATAGATATCTTCCCTACTCCTTTTACAACGCTTCTTTGTTATCTTCCATATCTATACACATCTATTACTTGTGCTGGTGAATGGTGGGAACTAAAATATGGTTAGGACTGATAATACCCAATAATATTTAAAGAAATATGTATAACAACAATCTCTGACGTCAGTAATTGATAGTCATATCCATATTAAGGACTCTAGGGTTAAGAAAATTAGTAATGAAACAGTTCATATGGTGTCCTTCCCAATCACCATCAGTTGCATAGATTTACTTACCTCTAGTTATTGTTCTGTAAATGATAGCCCTATTATCCTGTTTTTTCTCCAATAAAAAATTTTTGTAGCTAACCATTTTATTTCATAATATATTTTTGTATTAAATCAATGTTCACAAGTTAAACCTTGATGCGTATATTAAATTACCCATATATATATCACAATTTCAATCTCTAAGATTTTCACAAAGATATAGTTTCTATTTCGACGTCTTCCATTAGTATAACTATTGTGAAACTATTCATTCAAATCTAGACAGAAGTTCTCATTAGTTTTTTTCAAATGCAAGTCCTCTTAAGATATAATGTGAAATAATAACCCTGTAAAACTCTGTGTGTACTAATAATGTATCAAAATAATCGGTTTCTCACAGAACTCGTTGAACATGCTCTAAACAATACTTTTACAAATATATTTGAATGACATAACCTTATGTCACGGATTCAACCAGGGGTTCACTCAATGACTGAGAAAAGGTGTTGGATACTCTGAGTGACATGGTTCAGAATCAGTTTTAATAGCCCAGATAAACACACCTATTTAAACTAATCCATTCCACTGCCATTGGGTATATGAATGTAAATTGTTACTTGTCATATGCTTCATTATACGTTTGAATTAAAAAAGTCCTGTGACTCGTTAAAGAGAGGAGTTACCTCTTTCTTACAAATTTTAGTTGATTTATCACTATGTTAACCTGCAGACTACATGATATGAATTCCCATGATGTTATTAAGTTTATATAAACATAATAAGGTTTACTTCAACTATGCTTTGAATACTCTTATCAGGACTTTAGTGGTCTATTACCAGTCAAAGTGATTAGAAGAAAGAAGAACACTTTCAAGGGATTATTTCAGCAGGTCTCATACTATTCTCCAATTACCATCATTAACAAGCAGTCTAAATGGGAGATCAATGTGAATTCTCCAACTCTTGGTGAGGTTGAGATAGTTATATCTCATTTGAATCGAGGTAAATCAGTGGAAATTAATGAGTTAACTGTACAGATTTTTAAGTATAGTGGTTCATCTCGAAAATTTGAGTTCACTGAAATTCATCGACGAAAAGTCAAAATATTGAACTATATACCCAATGGTTGTCTAAACGTTGGCGGTCCGTGATGTAAATTATAAAATTCAGCAATCCATATAAACCTTCTAAACTAATAAGAGAGGTAACTCCCAGATGTCTAGTGATTAGCCGTGACCTGTAGTCTGGCAGGAGGCAACTAACTTATAATTACATTGGACAGTAGTTATGCAATATCGTAAGTTGAATGAAGTTAAACGTTTTTCGCCAATTCAGAGGTCTAGGGAAAAAAGCTCCAGTGCTTCCTAACTTTTCAGTAGTTGTCTAACTGAGGTTAGTCAATTTCGAAAATAATAAAGTCCAGAAACCTCTACAAACCTCCCTCATAGCAACAATCTTTTGAATGGTCTCTTGTCTGTTTTTATGTCACATTAAATAGGCTCTTTATGAAGATATGCTACGTGAATACTCAGAGTCTAAACCACTAGAACTATCTAACGTTCGTGGACGTCATCATCAGAGAAGCAGCTCTCGTAACTCTAGAAATAATGATTTTATTACAAATGCTAATTATAATGATAAATTTCGTGCTACATCACGAAATAATGACGTAAGGGCAACAGAACAACAGATTTTGGAAGTTCAAGCTATGAATTCTCCACGCAAACGATCTATATATGAGAACTCAGGGGAAATCGTCACTGCATCATCGACAACAGTAAGTTACCATATTATTACTTTCTATCACATGGATTCATTATTAGATGTATAAACCTTTAATATTTACATCGTTCTTAGTATGAGTTTGAACAAATTAGTGGTTATCTAAACTCAACAACTCAAATGATAAGGCGTTTGCATTGGAAGGGGAACATTCTAGACTCGTGTCTTGATTTAAATTTCAACACATGAATCCAAATGCATGCGACTGACGAGTCCGACATAGGGCGAAACCAATACATTCTTGATTCTACTGTTAATTATAATTCATTGATTTCCTTATGGTTATTTCATTTATTTACCATATTTGTTCAAAGAGCAGACATTTTTTCAAATATTCTAACAACTTTAAAAACTTTTGTATTTCGGATATCTAAAATTTCCGCATTAATGTCAAGAATTCATTTTCTTATCAACTAAACAAATATACTGTACTGAATGTTTTATTGGATTTAAGTGTTTTACTTTGTTTCGGAACCATAATATATCTATTGACTTATACGTCGATGAATTCGGTAAGGGAATGGTAGATTCATGCTTTGTTAGACAGATTTTCAATATGCATACAAATCACTTTATTGTTTAACAGTATCAAGCAAAAATAACACAATTCTATTCTATCCTATCTACTACTACTACTACTACTACTACCACTACATCACTTATTAACTAAAGTACATTGATGTATGTAAATGTATAATCATATCTTAGTTCTAGTCAGTTGAAAAGGAGACAATTATGCATACGTACATAGACATGAATAATTTATCAAATATATTTATGACCAGAGAAATTATGTAATGTAAAATAATACTGTCTCGATGAAATCGAATACATTTTTTTTTTGAAAATGATATATTTAAATTGCAAACATTTTTTAATTTGCAAGTTGATTTGAAAATTGAAATATCGCTTTGAAAATTCAATAAATCATCTTTATTATGGTTTAAAATGACTGGTGATTCCTGTTGTGACGGCTGGTATCCTAAATCTGATACTGTTACATGACATAAAATGCGCTAACCTCCTCTCTCCCAACTAACTATTTGAGAGAGAACACAGGAATAAGTGAGAAAGTACCGTGGGCTACCGGATGAAAATTCATCCCTTAAGAAACTAATCCTTTTTTTTAGCCAATGAAACACACTTGTCCTTTAGGCCATTTCCAAACGCCATCGATTGACTTCCGCATCAGGCTACTTCTGATTGGTTTGCCATATCACCTTTCTCTCCTGAAGAATAAGTCTTGCTCTTCGGACTTAGCCATCACTTCTACTGCACTGAACTTGCAGCTCCAGAATGAATGTATCAATTAAATAATCTAGTGGCAAGTTCGAGCTAGGGCGTTCTTTATCTGAGTTCAGTCGTCTATCGCAAAGATGGTTTACGTGTCGCGTCAGGCGTTGACATCATTTTTCTACACCACATCACCGACTCTTCTTACGATGACACCTGCTACCCACGCAGGTCCCCATTGTCAAACGTTTCTTACATACACTGCTAACCCATTAGGAAACTGACGATTAATTCTCTTCGCCTTGAATTTATCATCTCGTCTTCATTGTGGGTACATACTATCAAATGAAGTCGGAATCTTCCTTCCGAAAATTGACATTCTTTGGTGAGACTGGACCCAGGGTTATTCCTAATGATTTTCTCGGTCGTGCCCACATCTTGTGATCATTTTGAAAGTCACTAGGAAATTTCTGTCTCCATTTGTGCATCAAATGAGGATAGGAATATATTTAGTTGCAAACAAGACTGGATGATCAAGCATTTTGAATCTGGGTTACAAATGAAATCAAATTGGTAATCAAACATTCTTAATTCTCTGACCCAATCAAGACCCAATAGATTGAAGGATTCATAAGTAACATATCATTTGGATTTTATCATTGGATCATTAAATTTGACTGTACACTTGATAATTCCAGAAATTTTAATTGGGATATCTGATGTATTGTTTATGCAATCGTTAGTGGGATGAATGCTTGGTCGATAAAATTCGTGTCAAGTTTTGCGAAGAATCAAAGTAACATCGGATTCAGTGTCCAACTGCAGAGTGATAATACGGTCATTAACATTTATGCTTAAATACTTGCGTGAGCATTTGGGGTTAAATATTGATAATGCGTGAACACAGTTGATCCTTTTTGGCGTTCGATAATTGGATGAGTGTTTGATACGTTTGCGAAATCCCTCTTTATAGCCAGTTACTCTATATGTTGAGCATTTATGGTTACTAAATTGGCAGAAACGGGAGAAATGCCATGACTCAGAGTTCCAACAACTAGTGGGCGGCCTTATAAAGTGACGCGAATTATGGTTACATACGTTGGACGTTCGATTTGGGAAAGAAACTTTCGGCGAACAATGCTTTACGACATTAATAATGCGATCTGGATGAGAAACTTCCATCAAATAAAATGAATTAGGAATAATGGCACACACACTTCACCTAACTTTTAAGGATTTGGATTTCTCTGTTGTTCATCTTAAGGATTACGATCGATCAGTATTTACTAACAAATGTATATCATGGATGTATTGTCGGTAGAACTATACTATGCCGAAGAGTCAATCAGATTTAAGTTAACATTTCAACATGATTTATGAACTTTTCAAAGGTGATAATTCAGAATCATAGAATTGAATACGTAAGTATTCGTTCATGTGATTATAAAGCATCCTTCTGCCTCAACTTTAATTCACAATCGTAATCTCAGTTTCTAACCGTAACTCCCAAACCTATTTTGAATATCCTAATAGTCATATAAAACGTTGATAGACAATCTGATTTCGTTTGTTTTCTGTAATAATCTATTCACTCCTATCACCTGTATCCCTATTGACTAATAATTTGATATAATTTGGCAGAGTCACCTTAAGAGTCGCACAAAGTCATCTATTTTTTAAAGTCCTCCCCCCCCCAAGTTGTCACCGGATAGTCGATTTCCTAACTTCAATTAAATCACAGTGACTACAAATGTTAATGTTTTGAACTTTTCAACAAATTCATGAATTCGGTGCGTATTATGTACAGTTTGTATTTCAACACATTCATTTGTTTGTTTGTTTTTTAAAAAAAACTGTGAGGTTTAAAATTATATTATGTTGGTCAGTACGTAGGAAAATGATAAAAATACTTTATATTCTCTTGGTGAACAAAATATCTCTCGATATATCTATGGTTTCTATGTTTCTATGGCTTTGATACAGATTTATGTAGATTGCACAATGCATCACTCAAAGTGGTTGTGTTTACTTTAGTCTCTTGAACTTGCACAATTATTACTTCATAATGTAATGGATTTCCTAGCTAGTTTAGTGTCAATAAGATATAATCTTATTATTTCAGTGTTATGCTTTCGCCTCAGAGATAGAGATAGTAGCTAGCTTGAAGAATTACTATACAGATTACATAATTTTCATCACAATACTTCTTAGATTGTTTCATTACATGTTATTACTCAATTTATTTACAAAATTAGTCAAATTTACGTTGATAAATAAGTCATATGATTCTTTAGTGTGAGATTAATGATCCTTTTTTTTGATGTTCAATAAAAGTGTGATATCTAACATTTTCGAACATTTTCCCATTTACTTAGTTGGTCAGTGTACATATAAGAGTGTAATTTTCACTGAGAACTTCATTTTAATCATCTGAAACTATTTAGATATATCTTCTATGAACATTCTACTGTAGCGCATCCCGACTTACCAGATGAAGAAAGCAGACAAAGTGAAAGTTAGAACATAAAGTAAAATCCTCAGTGGTAATTATACTTTTATATGCAACGCACCCAGTAAATGAATGACAAAAATACTTAATATTGAACTTTTGTTCAACATCATGAAGCAGATGCGCTACAAATTGCAGGACGCATATCCTATCCTTTTTTGTGTTTATTTACATTAAGTCCATAACACTGGTGATTCATGTTTTACCTATAAGCTTTCTCATTTCATTACGTTTTTTTATTGAGATGACTTAATGGTTGTTAAAACGAAAATTTAGTTTGAATTTTATCTCATATACAGAAAATTGTTATTGTTTCTTTGTTTGTCAGTTTTTGTCTGACTGACTTTTTTATTTGATAGGCTAGTTCCTTTAGATCAATAGGAATAACGTAGAAAAGTATCCAGAAAAAATAATTGATTTCCAATTTTTTTGTCTGACTAACTAGTACAGATCGTATTTAACTATTTCCATACTGCTTTTTACGTCTTTATGGATATACGTTGTACCACAAATGAGCATCTAGCTTCTAATTTCATAGGAAACTACTATGCGGTCGTGAATAACAACAACTAGATAATTCAGAACCTTATCAATAATGATGTAGACGTCATACTCATTGAAAAACTAAAAGACTATCTGAACTTAGTGCCTAGTTGCATGATGTGTTAGCGTTTGAAACAAAAGGTACTGGATTCAAATCTTAATGTGAAAATCAGTTGTGGCATGTGCGGAGTATATCCAACTGATGAGTCCCCAATGAGATGAAATGAACTGCCAGAATACTACTGACAGTCACAGTCTATCTATTCTAAGATATTATATTTTCGAATAGTGTATTCGTTTAAATCGATGTTATATTGCTAAGCTGAGTTTCATATCGTTCTAGAATAATTTATTTGTTCGGCTTTTTGTGCAGTCAAATAATTATAACCCATAATTGCTGTTCATAAAGACAATTCTCAGTACAGTAGATTGTACAGGTCTTTAGACATTGCTACTGTGATGGTTTATTTTTATCATTTTTGGTTAGAAATATTACTACTGTAATTATCACTAATACCAGGTAACTTTCTTAGCAAACAATATCATGTTCACATGACTGTTGTAGATTAAAGTTCACATTTTTTATGTATTAAACAAGGTAATACTTTCTTTTTCTTATTTGAACTCGTCCCAGAGAATGCTTATAATTAATTGACTTCGGTGTTAACTGACAATATCTCTTATTCCATAGTTCTTATGAACAAGGAACAGAATTACAAAACATTTCAATAAAATTACTTTCTCTAGATGTTTTTTTTCGGAATAAATAATTAGTCATCCCACTAGTGACTTGGATCAAGATGTTCGTGAAATTCAAGTGAGAATACGTGACCGGTATGGTTTAGACATGTTACGAGTGAAATAGTTGTCATCAATCATTTTGCATGATCGTCGTGCTAGATAACAAATTGATTAAAGTTGAAAGTGTACTATTTGTCTCTGAACCAATGATTTCAAAGATTAAATGTTCGTCGCAAGACTCGAATGTCCTTGGCTTCATTCATGATTGAGTTGTGAGTTGCCGCTGGTGAGGAGCTTCTTTCTAGAAATGAAACAACTAGTCACTGCTCCCTGGTTTTCAGTGGTACCTCAACTGAGATCAATCTGTGACAAACACAACCTATAAATAATTTTGTTTTTTAAGCCCAAAACAAACTCAGTGAGTGTATTTGAAGCAACGTACAAAACAAAGAAGTGTCAGTAGTTTTGTTGAATGTTTTAGCAAAAAACTAAAACAGTGAAAATGTGATAGTTTTCTGTCTAAATTAAGAGTAGTATATTCATAGTATTCTTTTTACTCTTCATATAAACACTTAATTGTAGTTGCGCATGAAAAAAACTTTCATTTAGTATTCTCTTCTTATATGTAAATTACTCATTTATTCCCTTGTCCTTACCAAACTGTACTCTTATTAATATTGTTTTTCGTTATATTAGTCCAACTAAGATGTTGATAATAAAACTAATCACACCAATCTGAAACGAAAAATATCGATTATTTTATTTGATTATTCTAATCAACAACATTTTGTGATTATCACAGCCAATATTTTATCGTAAGATGGATGATTAACCAATATGGAGAGACTATTTAATAATCTACATTTTAAGATAATATCTGGTTAATTTATCCGATTATTTATCAACTTGTTACTTTTAAAGTCAATTTCTCATTTACATGGTACAAAGTTCTTTAATATATATTTTGTACACTAAATGGTAAATGACACAATATGCCAACTGTATTAATGATTAACAAATATATCAGTTATTATAAAGTTTTATTCTCAATAGAATGAACAATTCTAAGTATTTTTAATGTGGGACTACTCCCACAATAGAATGAAACGGCTGTCCAGTGCTTCCAGGTTTTCCATGATGGTCTACCTTCAACTGACTCATGATGTTAACCATTGAAATTACTATAATATCCACAAAACCCATCTGATATTAATTCTAAATATATTGAAAGATTATCATTACACTAAAAATAATAAGATAACAACCATTGAAAAATATACAGTATAAAACAGGTTTGTCGCTTCCTCACTTGTCTTTATATTCATAGAAAAAACTATCCATACAAGATGATTCAATGTAGTTTCATAGCATAACTCTCTAGAAATAATATGCTCTAGAAGTATGAATAATCTTCATTGAACTTAGTAAAATACAAGAAGTATAAGGTTCTCTGAAAGATTTCATGGCAGGACAAAAAGAATTTTTTTTTGAATACTGGTTGATTTCCGTTTAAAGTCACAATCTACAATCTTTACCATTTTTTTGTATTTTATTCAAAGATCCAATGATGCTTGTTAGTGTATGTATACATGTACTTCAGTATAATAACAATATTAGGTCAGCTGATTGAAAACTGTAAACTAACGATAGCATAGTACGATGTTTATTTTTAGTTCTGATAGTGTTTTTTTATATGTTAGACATAAACAAAGAATTGGGAAAAATGAGACTTTTAGAACTATTCTATGGTGAATTATTATCCCTATTTTTATCATGTAATTATTTTTTTTATATTGTTTTATTTATAAGCTTTCATTTAATTCAATAAAACTACTGAAATCTATATTACTTTACGATCCATAAATTACCATTAATTAATCAAGCACCTAGTACTCAGTTTTGTCTCACCTATTATGACCTGGTTATATACAAACTATTTGTGGTGTGTTGTGGTTATCTAATTGTTATATATAATCCTGTTAGTTTTTAAGTAATGTTAATTAAAAGTAAATTGGTTTATTGTCTAGGCATTTTGGTTGACTATCGGGAATGTAAATAGCTGTATAGACTAATAGACGTTTGGATTTCAGTTATTGTTATTGGCTATCCTTTTGTTATTGATCGAATCAAGGGTTATTGTGTTAGCTAGCTTAATGCGTACTCTTTATCACTGGACTATATAATTTAATTATCCGATTAATAAGCGCATATAAACTATGTTGAAGTCATAACAATAAGTTAATCATTATTTTATTCATTAATATAACTTCTAAAAAGCCAGATATCCAATTAAATTCTTTTTTCTTATTGTATCTTTTATTTTGTAACTCTTGTTTTATGCCCTCTTTGCTTTCTTTAATTACAAATATAGATTCCAGTTGGTTCATGCAATTCACCAGTTTGTATTGCTGTACGTAATCTCTTGAAAGCATTTCAAGATCGTTATAGTGATTTAATGGATCAATTTATACAAATTCAGCATGATCCAACATTAACAAATGGTCATTTCAATGAAATGAATATTAATAATAATAATAATAATAATACTCATGATAATAACAATAGTATAATTCTAAGAAAATCTTCACAAACTTCAGCATTCATTAAAGAATTATATACTCAATTAAATAATATTTCAAATTTATTAAATGAAAATAATCATCAAATAATTCAAAATTATGAATTAAATGAACATATTCAATTGTGTATACGATTGATTCATTCATTAGATAATTGGATTAATTCTTGTTTAACACAAAATGATATGGAAATAGCACATCTTCGTTTGTTCATTATGAATTTACAATTACGTAATAATAATAATAATAGTAATTCAACTGGTATAGAACAAAATACAACAATATTTACTTCATCAATGAATAGTCCTGGTACTAAAGATAATAATGAGCAAAATAAACAAACTGTAAGTTAAGATAAATTGTTTTTGTGTGTACACAATTTGACATTGAGTCCGTACATATGTAATAGTTGAATTCTTTTTATAATGTATATGATATCACTAATTGTTCTAAAGTGATCGGTTCATTGAACTCGAACATAATCTAAAGTTATATTGAAAATTATCTTCATAATCCATTAAATTTAATTAATACTAAAGAACTAGATAAACATGACATTGACCACTAGACAACAATCAATTAGCCATAAATATCTAAGTCTTATAGAAGGTCCTGAATACCTCAGTATGAAGCTGGGTGACATAGGTTCGGGTCCCACTGAGAGCATCAGTTCCTTAAAAATTACGAGTAGACTTTACTGAAAAGTATTGAATAGCACGAAACTTAAATCTGTTTGGATTTCTTGATATTTACGTTTGATTACCTAACAGTACTATCTTTTTTAACAAAAGTAATAATTAATCAACATTCGTGTACTTCTTGAATCCTGTTAAAGTTTAGTAAGAAGCAGCATTTTTGAAGAAACGGCTTATGTAATATAAGTGAATGGAGATAAAGACATTGTTATCAGACTGTTAAACATTTTTGATATCTTGTTTTTTATTCGATCCAATAGTTTACACATTCTTAAAGATTGTTTACAACATGGAAAATCACGGCTCAATAGATATATATTGTTTCATAATTTGAGATTCCTCTTCAGTGTATGTTTAGAACCCGGAACTCTCTATAAGAGCATTTCTTCTAGACTATTTGGTTGGATTCCAGTGGTTAATACTTACGAGTGACCATATTCAAAATGAGTTCTAGTAGTTCTAGTAAGGGGTCGTCGCATTATTGGTATTTAGTTAGGTCAGATGTTAGACACTTTAGTCTTAAATTAACATTTTCCAATTCTGAAGTGTGGAATTATTTCACAATGGTTCATTGATCAAATTAACATGCTAATCTATTGTAGTGCGACTCTGGATATTAGTCATCTAGTAGGATGTCATACTAGTTGAAGTGATTTCATGTAAATCGGTCTAATTTGTAAGTTGTCACAGAATAATCTCAGTTTGGATACAATTAAAAGCCAAAGAGCGATGGACAGTTGTTTCTTTCGAGTGTGGGACTACAACAGTGCACAATATGTGTTGAATACAACTTACAAGTATGATACCGGGTTATTTTTCACAGATTTATTGTTCATTCATCAACATCATATAGATTAATGTCATTAATTTTCATATCTGTTTCTTCCTTGTTTTTGTACTTTCTCTACACTTTAACTAGTTTTCATGTTCAATCAGTATAAACAAAAAGCAGGACCCTAGTAAGTTTCTACTTAATGAACAAGAGTTATTTAACTTAAGAGAAAAGTTAAGGCTAACTGAAGCTCAACTACAATTAACGTCTATGATGCAAACCACTTAGGTGAGTCAATTACAAAGTTGGTAAGTTCAATTATACTTGATATTATTCCAAACCTGCTTAGTTAGTTTTAATCTTGACGTAGTGCCCTATCACAAATAAAGGTTAGCCTAAGGATGTGAGATGCGATTCAGCTTATCGATTATTTGTCCCCTTATTGATAGAAATACAGAAGTTGTCGGTTTCTGTAAACATATTGCAGATTACTTCATATGAATCCATAAACCGAATAGCTTCCAGTTTCACTGTGGTACTTTTGTGTTATTTTTCATCTCATTGGTTATTTATCAGTTTTATACAATTTCACGAACTCTATGTAATCGGAACCATCATTATGTGATAAATTTATGAGCATGCTTGATCTTACATCTGCCACCTTATTCTTATTACTTTTCAACATACTTGATATCGGAAGTTAATTAAAAAATAAGCTCAAAGTGTCTGGTTTCTTTAACGATTAGCAGTTACCATACTTAGCTTGAAGAACACTAGTCAGATGCTTGTAGTCGGTATAGCGTGAACTCTGTGCTCCCAATTATGTAACGAAAATGCTCCACAGAAATTTCATTTGTGAATAATTCTGGATTGTATTAAGTTTAGTCGAAATTTAAACAAATGTTACTATATTTCAAGAGTCAATTAATCCAACACTTTCACAATCATCACATCAAATACATCAGTTCTATTTAGTAAACATGAAACAAAGATACAGGTTTTGGTCATTGTTTATTTTAAACTTCTCGAATACCTCTGTAACCACTTATATATCCTGATTCGTTCTCTTCATAAGTCTGTTGGCGGCTGAGATATTTCTACACATTTGTGTGCAAATCAACAATGGAAATTTATAAGACCGAGTATTCTAAGCTTTCTACTTGAACTGGTTAGCGGATAATTTTCAATCATTGACAATTCTGCTGAAAGAAGTTTCATTCTATGTATTATATACATTGACACAATTCACTTGAAGTTTGAGTTATTGAGCGTTAAAGAGCTAAATAGAATAAGAGCTTATGACAAAATCGTATATCAGTTTATCATTTACCATGTTTCCTATCCTAAATTTTGTTATAATAAAGTGAACAGAAAAACCAATTTAGTATACTAGAGAATCATTTATTATAGTGTGAAAAATTTCAGTAATAATTTTCTACCTTTTCAGAAGTAAAGTGTTTACAACATGAAAAAATGCGTAAACAATAATAATAATAATAATAATAATAATAATAATAATAATAATAATAATAATCAGTTAGCAATAAACGACGTATAACTTGGGACAATAGTTCATCAACTCGAGCTTCATACAGCAAGATTCAATTATCAAGACAAATCTCAGAGCAGTAGACTTAGTACCAATATTAGTGGTAGTTGAAAGCATCAACCTTAGCTAATACAAGTAGAGCAAAAAGTACGAGTTTATCAAATGAAAGAAGACAAAGAGTGAATCAATCCGAACTAATGTGGAAACTTTCGAGCTACTTCATCCATTATCTATAACTATTGATTATGATAAGTACACAGACCCTAACCAGGTAGTCTACACCTATGTACACAGCTCAGTCCGATGATAAATGACCATGGAATAATGGTGCGTCTTAATTTTGCTTCTCCTAACTGTCTTCTAATTTACTAGCACACTAGTATACACCTCACGTATCGGTTAGCAGTAGATGTAGTATGTCATACATATTTGAACCACCACAATTGGTAAAGATGCACTACCTCATAAACTGATTTACCATCTTTACATAGTACCTTGGTCTTAACGTACACATGTAATGTTTCGAAGATACATATAGTCATATACTAGTAATCTATGTGTCAGTGGTGAACTAACTGTTCATGAATAATCAGATTGATTAAACTAACATAAATATAAACCATGTTTCTTTACATTCTTAAACTTAAATTCCAATTTCCTTCATTCCTTTTTTCAAATAGAATTCGTTGATTCTGGCAGTGTTTTTGAATATAAAAAAATAAAGTAACAAATAACTCATGCTACATCAGCAATACACAGTTATTTCAAACGGTATCGTTTTTATCACCCATTTTTCTTTGTCTTATTTGTTTTCTGAATTTTATCTAATCAGTCGTTTTGTTAAGAAATTCATATATATATTCACATATGTGTGTACAATTTTACGTTGTCTTCTTGAAGTTCTCCTATCTTCTTTTGAATGAATGATTTTAAAGTGAACAATAAACTGAACGGAATGAAATCAAAGCATTTACTATAATATTATTAACTGATACCGACAATATGATCGACCAAGAGAAAATGCTTCTAGCATAAACAAATGCCATAAATGTTTTTTCCCAAAAAAAAACCCTGAATGTTTCTGTTTTTTTATTTTTTTTCTACTGATTATTTATATTTCATCTTCATTGTGAAGAATGCTAAACAATCAGTAGTCAGTCATCAATGCTTGATGTGTGTGTGTGTGTGCATGTGTTTGTGTGTTTACACTTAATAATCATTGGAAAAATAAAATTCATTACCACTCTTTGAACTCATTCATTCTGCTTATCATTATGATCATTTTATTAAGTAAATTGTATAATTTTATAGGGTAGTTTGTTGAAAATAGTTATATCATCATGAATATATTATTGTTTTCATCATTTGTGTTGTGTTTTTTTTCCTCATCACATTCATGATTTCCATAATGATCATAATATTGATAATAACGATTATTAATTCAGTTATTGTTGTCTTTTTTTTTAATAAAAAGAAAAGAAATGCACACCCCCCTTTTTAGTGTCGGTTGTGCTTTTTAATATCATCACAACTTTCCTTCCGCCCTTCTCCCTCCGCCGGCCTTCGATTTTCGATAGATACTAATTTTTAAATAAATAAAAAAAAAGAAGTAATAATAAGTAGACTACTTTCGATTGTAATTCAATTCACAATGATGTTATGTATTACACTTGCTCTCATATACATACACATGAGTTTGAATATACAAATGGTTTCTGAATGTTGTATTCATATGCACTCGTACAATTGTTGTAATGTAACATTCTTTTTCGTTGCTTTAGTTGATCTTACTTTTTAAGCATTATGATAGATATGAAATATGTTTAGTATTGTTGAATTTTCTCTTTTACTTTTTTTTCTTTCTTTCTTGCAAACCGACAGTTTGTTCATTTCTTCAAACATTTCTGTGTACAAGACATTTTCGAAGTTTTTTTAAGTAATTTTCTATATCCATATATATATATATATATATAAACCTTTTGTTTACTCATGTTTAGCTTGAATTGTTTTATTTGTTTTCCTTTTCTCATGGAGTACAGTTTGTTATAAGGCATGATTCATTGGAACATTATGGATTCATTATTGTCATAATCTATGTAGGTAACTATGTGTACACATGAGTATACTTGTTTTTACTCTGTTTTCTTCTATAAATTAGACTTATTATATATGTTCCCTTACTAAAACGTAATAATAATAATAATAATTCATATTATTTTAATCATAAGGTACTGCTATTCTTGAATGTTAACTTATCATAAGTGTCAGTTATTTATTCATTCTGTTTCATATTAATTAATTGGGAAAATGTAATTTGTTTTCTAACTATATGAAAGCCTATATTACATGTAATCTATACTTTTCGTGTTGCTATGTGATTTTGTCTCTCTCTTCTCTCTTTTACCTTCCTTCTATTCTACATTAATAAAAATAGTTTTTTTTTTTTTGGTTAATTTTTCTGCTTAAAGTTTTATTTGTTAAATTTATTTTGCTTTCGACTTTTTGTGAAGAAAAATAGTCGTCTGCTACCTTTTTTTAAAAAATGTACTTGTTCATTCGTGTATTAATCATAATTTTAATAATAAGCTAGTCACACGTCTAATTACATTTTATGTCAATCTTATTTACATTTGTATGATATATGTTGACAGTGACATGCTATGAACTCTAAGATTTGTTTTTCTTGTCCCAATAATGATTTACCAATTGAATGAATTTGGATTACAATATTCATATCCCTAATGAGACACGAACATTATGTCTATTACATCAAAGTCTAAGATATGATACGACTAAACCTAGTCAGTCAGTAACAACGTAGAACTTCGTACGTACGTACGTACGTACATTAGTTCGAGTTGCCACATCACATTAGCACAGAGATGCAGTGGTCGATTCAAATCCCGTAGTGGTAGAGGTAGTAAGAGTATAAGAAGTAATCGGAAAGATTAGGGCTTGAAGATGTTATTCAAGGAGTATAATCTAGTGAAATGAATTTGGAAAGAAAAAAAGGGACATGAAGAATTCAGAAGATTAGAATTTACGAGTACACAAAGAGTGGATGCACCTGAGCCATTGCAAACGATTTTCAGCCATGTCATTCAGGGTCTCTAACCGTCGGTTACTATCATCTCGCGGTCCGCAACCAGTAGTCTACACTTACCAACATGACTTAGTCCACTTGTCAGTGACTTCATGGACTTGCGCCATGTTTTCGTCTGGCCGCCACTAGCTTTCTTCCAATCTACTCCTATACAACAAAACATCGCACATCGAGGCAGTCGGTGGTTGGGCATACATAACACGTGTCCCAGCCATCTCGACTGATGAAGTTTCACCACTTCATCAATCGATTTGCCATCCTTACCTAGTACCCGTTTCCTAACAACTGCGTTACTTACTCGATGGTTCCATGATATACGAGCAATGTTTCGAAGACATCTATGATCGAATACTAGTAACCTACGGATATCCTCTACTCTTACCGGCCATGTTTCACTGCCATAAAGTAGGACGGAACGAACTGCTGCGCAGTAAACCTGTCCTTTGGTTGGCAGACGGATATCTCGCCTACGGCATAAATGACGCAAGTTGGCAAAAGCTAGTCGAGCCTTCTGTATCCGTGCTGAGATTTCGTCACACACCAGAACACAAGGGCTGATGAGACTTCCAAGATAAGTGAGGCGGTCGACACGCTGAACTACTTCACTCCCTATCATTAGTTCGGGTGTCGATGCAACCCAATTCTGAAGCAACATCCCTCTCTTATCTTCACGACTAGACCTATGACGCTTCTGGTGCCCAAAAAGCGAGTTTGTATTACGTTACCATTCAGAGTTGACATAAACAGCAAGAAAGCGATTGTGTCACATCTAATTGCGTTTATCAATTTACATGTATGTGCGGAAACACGTACGTAGGGAGGAGCAGTCGTCATTTACAATTAAGGGTAACTGACATACCAAAATGGTCGCGGAAACACATGGATTCCAATGGTCAAATAAAATCACAGGATAGACAAACATCACCCTTCATTGCGAAACATTTGATTGAGACTGGTCATAAGGTTGACATCAAGTCAACGTTTTTATTGTTGTACAAAAGCCTTCAGGGACGTACGCTAAGGTTTATTGAAGCCTTAGCTATACGGAAATAGAAACACCCTTTATGTGTTCAAAAACAATTTGTCCTTACACTTAACCTACTCTGGTAATACTGATTAATTATCCAGAGTGGTAATCACATTTGTTTTTGTGTACTTTAATATTAAAATATGATTGTTAATTGACGGAGAGTTGAAACCTTTCCAGTTAGTTAATTACATCATACTCTTTGAACTGGTGTGAGATATCGTGTTATAGTAACCAAGTATATAATGTTCTGACTCAAGAAGTGAAGGATATTGTGAGTGAGTTTCAATAGAAGCATCAACATCAAAATCCAAGTATATCAATGTTGTGAGTTTCAAAAAGAACGTGAATCAAATTACTGGTGCGACTCTTACGAAGTGTGAAGTTTCCAGGACTTCCAACTATATAACTTCCTACGAGCAAATTAGGGGTTGATATAAATTATTCCTGAAGTAACATATTCCGTTTCTTTGTAGAGATACACATTTCAATCATTCTCACATTGTTGATTAGTGGCTGTTGAAAGCCTCTGCACCTTTTTCAGCATTCTCATTGATGTCATCTGGATACATTAAGCCACCAAGTGAATCTTCAGAAAAGAGATCAGTCTCTCGATCTTCGTGTAAAACTTTTATTTCTAAGAGTACATCAATAACAAAATGAAATGAAAGAGGAGATAGTGAATACCTCTGACAATTATCACTTCAGGTTGCCACGTATGATGTCGTTTCTTTATAAGCTTTAACTTGATTGCTAATATTCGAGTAAAGAGATTCTAATAATTTCACGTGCTGTTTAACTATACTCTTTAATCACTATTACTATCACAAGTCCTCTCAACCAGCGCAGCTAAGTCCATCTTTCAGGTTACAAATATGAACACAGTGAGGTTCGTCATTCATACTTATGTTCTAAACCTGTCAGTAGATAAAGATTTGGTTATTACACCCACTATTATGTCTGAAACTGACTTGATTTACGCATGTTCGTTACTTATGAGCTTCATTTAACCATCGGTTGATTTTGGATAGCGGTTATATAAATATTATGTTAATCAAAACGATTCCTCTGTGGTTATCACGAGAGAATTTGTGTCTTTTATTAGGAACTCAGACAACTGTTTATCAAGACCAGTTGGAAAATATTATGTCAACTGCAGTACTCAAGTTATTATTTCACTGAGTTCAACTTCTTGAACTGGATAGCTGTTCTCAAAGACATCTGTATTTAATTCACCAGGTTATTCTGATTTCCCTCAATCCGACTTACCTATGACTATTTCAATCTCGCTAAGATTTAAAGGACTCATATTGATTACTCATTAATGTTATTTGAGAATATTAGTAATTGGAGACTAGCTTAAGTGCTCTTCTCAAAGTATTCTAGTCATCTTTTCAATCTTCCGGACTGAGAGTGGATCATGACCCCATCTCTACCGAAATAGTATTAATCAGCAGTTAACTTCCAATAATTTTTTCTATGATACATTTGAACAGTTGTCTAGTTTCTCTTATCATCACTGCATTTTCCTGATTTAGTTTTCTTTCATTGCCAGTGTAAATTTAATTGACGTTTTATGATTCTACCTTTGAATTATCTTGTTTCTTGATTGTGTTCCGAGCCGATTGAGATGAGTTTCCAAGTGGTTGTCGTTGGTTTAAGTTATTAACCTACAAAACTATTATATTTACAGTCTTCCACATATACAGCAAAGTTTCTTTATAATGATCTTTTTGTTCACAATCAATGAGATGTTTAGCTTATAATCTGATGGAAAGTCGATATAGATCAAGTCATACTATATATTAGTTTTTAGCAGGAAATTCAACTTTCAGTTGTTGGGAATGATTTGTACTCGTAAGAGCTTCAGATGTGATAATGAGTCAAAAAAGAACTACGGAACTAAACATTGCATAACAATATGCATAATCACCTGTACCGTAGAAATAAGTCTCTTTTCAAACCCGAATTCCATGGTTACCAGATTCATATCTTTCTAACTTGATGTAACAACGATTTGCTAAATACGAGGTTTTGTCTCATAGAGAATTTGACAAAATTACAGTTACATCTGTTACTTTTCCATGAATATTGGCTATAGAAACTAAACAATAATCTAAGAAAATATTGATGACACAGAGCTTATTTATCCAATATCATTTCAGAAAAGATGTGAACCACATGATTTTTCTAAAGAGCTTTCAATTTCAATAATCTGGATGTAGTTACTAATCGTCTAAATCTATCATTTTTGTGTACTGAAACAAGAGATTAGATGAAACACGTTCAACCCATATGAAGCAGATTATGATCGTTTTTTTCTTGAAATATTAACATATGATTCACATTAAATTTCGGATTATGCATGAAATAGATTTCTGTTGAAGTCATTCTAATAGGTATTGTTGAATGTAAGTAGTTTTGTGGTGTGTGCTACTTGTATTGACATAAGTAGTATATGATGTTAGTCGTGAACTGAAGGTCTGGCAGGAGAGAAACAAGCGGATCGAACAGAAAAGATTGGAAACAGGATGCAATTTGTATGAAAATACAAGAACAATGAAGTTCGAGTCATTTGAGACAATTGGTGGACATTTTGCGAATTAAGCATTTACTTTATGATTGTTAGATTTTATTAACAAGTCCTGTAGTTTTGTGTTAAATACATTCGATTGTCCCCGCCTGTGTTCTGTTCACCACAGTTTGACCTTGTAGATCGCAAATGACAAGTCTGGTAATATGAACACTTGAAAACGATTTCTGACCGCGTCCTAACTCCTTTAGCAATCTCCTGTATTCGAATTTCCAAGTGATCGACAAACTAAGGAGATTAACCAAACAAGTTTTACTTCCAATCTTCGTTTAAGTACAGAAAAAAAACAAGGATATTTATGGATGATGTCGATATTCTAGAAGCTTCTAGAAACATTTTAAAATATTTGTCATTATCTAATCAGTATGACATAATCCATCATGTTTCCATAACTTTATGTGAGGCTTTTATTGAACAATGATTAAGTGAAGCATTTTCAATCTTTTATCACTTTCTAAAGACTTTTTCCAAGGAACTTTTGAGAAATTCCAGTACTCTATTTTGATTACATCAGAAGTAAGTAAATAAATGTCTCCAGAAAACAAAAGTATTGAAATGCATAACCGAATAAATGTTAAATACTAATGGATAGTTTATAATAACTTAAATAAGAATTTTAATATTCATAAAACATTTCCAGTTATTATTACTTTTGTAAATTTATGTAAATCTTTTAATGTATATTTTATTATCATAATGGGTTTTGTCGAGATTTTTTGAAATTTCACTGGTTGAAATCATGAGCCGTTTGAAGCTAGACCACCATGGAAAACCTGGAAGCACAGGACGGCCGTTTCGTCTTAGTATGGGACTTCTCAGCAGTGAGCATCCACGATCACACCCCTCGTGGGACGCCAGCTCAGTGGTCTAGTTGGTTAA